TCTGGTAGCATAGTGCCTAAGGCACTTGACTGCTAACCAGAAGGCTGGTGGTTCAAACCCACCAGCCACTCCTCAGAAGGAAGATGAGGCAATCTACTTCTGTAGTGATACTGCCTCAGAAACCGAAGGAGGAGTCGCTATGAGTCAGGTCCGACTCGACAGCACATAACAACAACAACAACATTGCAACTAAACTTTAAGAAACCATTTCTTCTCAAGTTTTGGTAGAATATCAAAGAAGAATATACGCCATTTTCCAATAAGTCTTTTAAAATACTCTTCCCTTTCAACAATATATTTGTGGAAAGCTGAATTTTAAAAATATATTTCAAGTAGAGACTGGGGTCTTAAAAGCTTGTGAGATGCCATCTAAAGTGCAACTATTGTTCTCTCCTCGTCTGGAGCAAAGAAGAGTGAAGAAAATCATACACTCAAGGAAACAATTAAACCAAAGGATTAGTGGAGCATGTGAACCCCAGCATCCACAACTCTGAGAGCAGAAGAACTAAATGGTGCCTGGCTACCACTACTGAGCACTCTGAAACGGATCACAATAAGACCTCCTGGAGTGAGTGGGGAAAATGTGGAACAAAATTCAAAATCATAAAAAAAAATCCAGCCTTGCTGGTCTGTTGAAGACTGGTGGAACCACTGAGACTTAGACTGTTGGACACCCTTCAAGTTAGGAACTGAATTTCACCCCTATGACTCAACTGGCAGCCAAATGATAGCCAGACCTATAAGGTGAACAGAAATATCAGGAGGGTATGCATTCATTAGAACAATCAAGCATATGAGATCGAGAGGATAGCATTTGCCCAAGGATAGAGCTCAGAAGGTGGGAGGGAATGGGAAGGAAGGATGAAGGGCACAGGGAGGAAGTGGGAAGAATGCTGTTACAATGTGGAGATTGCAGTAAATGTCACAAAACAGAGTGTGCATGGATTTTTGAATGGAAAACCAATTTGCTTTGTAAACTCACCCAAATCACAATTTAAAATAAATAAATAAATAAACTAAAACAAAAACCCTATGGAGCACAGTTCTACTCTGAGACACATGAGATCACCATGGGATAAAAAAATACATACAAATATATACACACACACATATTTCAAGTAAAGCAACACATTCCAAGAAATAGGATACAGAAGTTATGAGAAATCATCTATCTTCTAATAAGCTGGGCATTAAAGGGATTTCCAAAAATGTAAAAATAATGCCATTTTTCTCACTATATATATTTTTTTGGTGTTACAAAGTATGTATTTTTTTCATAGAATTTCTATGAAATTAGACCAAAAGATTAATGGAGCATGTGCCTAAGGCACTTGACTGCTAACCAAAAGGCTGGCGGTTCAAACCCACCAGCCACTCCTCGGAAGGAAGGTTGGGCAATCTACTTCTGTAGTGATACTGCTTCGCAAACCCAAGGAGGTGTCGCTATGGGTCGGGTCCGACTCAATGGCACATAACAACAACAACAACATGAACATATAATGGATTTATTATTTTTAAATGAATCAATAGAGATTTATTAATTTAAATTTTTCTCAGTGTTAATTTCTAATGGGTAAATGTTGATAGTCATAGCACATAAATATAAATTATTTGGGGTCCTCAATTATTTTTAAGAATGTAATAAGATCCTGAAACCAAAGCATTTGAGAATATTACTCTAACTTACTCCATTCTCAGATAAGTAATAGGAAGCCTAGGGTGCTCATTTGTAATACTAAAAAGATGAAATAAGTCATTTTGCAAATATTCTAATCTCTTCCTGTTGTTCTATTCTCCTTCAAGTGTCACACTGTTGGCTTTTGAAAATAAGGCTCTTCTCTTTACTCAGACACGGTGCTTGTCTGATCCTTATTTCTTCCAGGTCCTGCCTTAAAGAAAGTGTGGAGATGGGAGGGGTCAGAATTCTTACTTGTAAATGTGCTTTAAATGTTTACTTGTAAATGATTTCAAAAGAGTTTTAAAATTTTGCATCCTCAGAAAATTTTAAAACTAATTGGAGTTTACCTTTGTAATATTTATATTTTCCATACTTATTTTTAATATCTGTATGTCAGGAGCTCTGGTGGCACAGTGGTTAAAGCATTTGGCTGCTAACCAAAAGGTCAGGAATTCAAACCCACAAGCTGCTCTGTGGGAGAAAGATGTGGCAGTCTGCTTCTATAATGATTACAGCTTTGGAAACCCGATGGGGCAGTTCTACTCTGTCCAATAGGATCACTATGAGTCAGATTGAGTCAATGGAAGTGGTTATCTGTATGTCATTGTAGTAGTGCACCGAGAATAAAAGTAATAAACAAATGAAAGTCACCAACACCTGATAGTGGAGTTCCACTTTGAATACTTGTTGGTGATCTGACATTGATGCTAGATAATCTATGTTGTTGTTGTTATGTACCATCGAGTCAGACCCAACTCATAGTGACCCCTCCTTGGGTTTCTGAGGCAGTATCGCTACGGAAGGACCTAGATCATAAATAAAAGTCAAGTCTTAATTTATTATTATTATTGTTGGAAACATTTTATAGCTATGATTTTGAATCATGTATAATTATTGCTGTAAAAGAACAATTTAGTGGTAATTTTTATAGATGACTTGAACAATTGCTGAAAAGTCAGAACACATCTTTTTCCATTTGTTGGTTCTCTTGCTTAAGAATCTGAATGTCTTTGGGACATATTTGATAGATAAAGTCTTGGTTTGCCTTTGGTAATCCTCCCATGTTCTCCATAGGCCCCATGCTCCCATTCCACAGATGTGGTGGAAGGATAGTGTGGAATGAATCATAATGAGAGAGGAATATTTGCATAACATTACGGTCTGGTCCAGTGGCTTATGGGTCTTTGAATATTCTAATGCAGTTGGCTCAACAACTACTGTTGGTTTGATGAGAAAGTGACCTGTGAAAACCACGCAGCAGTGAGAGGGGCCAGTTAGCCATAGCAACTGCTCCCATACAGCTGTGTGTCAACTTTTCAACAGTGATATTCTGGGAAACAACCTCACTCTTACTTGACACATGCCTTTTCTTAACAGCTATTTCATTTAATAAAAGAGCTTTCTCAATACATGCATCACATTCCAACATTTTCCCCCTTCACTAATATGAATGATTCCTTGTACTTCGGAAATCTCTTTTAATACTGAGAAGAACCATATCAAACGATGAAGCTCCACTTAATTACAGAGTGCTAATATATGTGGGCTGCAGCAGTGGGTTCAAGCAGAGCAATGACTGTGAGGATGGGGCAGCAGTGTTTCATTCTGTTGTACATGAGGTTGTTATGGGTCAGAACTGACTTGACAGCACTTGACAACAACAATACATGACTCATGATTCATGCTACTTTTTATAGGAGACCCCTTGGCTCAAAGAGTTTTATAATTTTTTTTCTTGGACTTTTGGAGAAGACGTTATAGAACAGAGATTCTGAAAATAGAGGTGGGCTCTCTTCACTTTTAATATTTCATGTTTTAAATGGTGACCTGCTTAGAATATTAACATAGTTAAACTAAACTCATCAAATAAGCCATAACAAATTAAATCTTATAAAATTAAATTGAATAGTAACCATGAAGGGTAAATATGTCTTGATGTGCCTGCATGAGTGTTTTCTACTAATATAAAATGACATGGACAGTTTTGATTTATTTCAGTCAACGTTACCTCCTTTTGGGTCAAGTACAAAGATGCAGTATGCTTTGTCTGATCTCTCCAAATACATGACTACAGTAAAACAATTTAAATTCAAGTTATGATAAATGCCACAATCAACAACAAGCATGACACTGTTTACATACTGTGTTTTGCAGGCTTTTCTACACAACTGAGGTTCTTTTGAATGTTGGAACAGTTACAACCCTGTGACCATGAGGGAGAAATTTCAATCATTAAAGCAATTTGCTATTTAGGAGAGCTTGGTTGATAGCAATCTAACTCTGAAGGACTTTGCCCATTCAATTTACTTTGTTCGGCAGTGTAGTATTCAGGTAAATTGTTGTTGTTGTTGTTGTTATGTGCCGTCGAGTCGGCCCCGACTCATAGCGACCCCTCCTTGGGTTTCCGAGGCAGTTATCACTACGGAAGTAGGATTGCCCAACCTTCCTTCCGAGGAGTGGCTGGTGGGTTACGATTGATTAAAGACAATCATTTGCTCTTCTTACCCAAATCTTCAAACCGGAAGGGTACTACCAATTTTCTCTCTCCCAGGCCTTTGTGTTGGATAATGCAGTCCACTGTTGAGTTTTTGCTGTATGTACGCACTCTGAGTGTGCTTGTCGTATTACATTTCTTCCCATCAGTTTCAAGTTTATGGTGAGTTTCACCTACACAGCAATTTAAAGAGGTACATAAGGTTATGACTATGTAATGTTATTGGATGAGTTTGGTTCTTAGACACCAGCAGCTTTGACTTTGTGGCAAACACATCAAAAGTCTAGCATCAGTTAACCTCTCTTGTACATGTTTGCCTCTGGTTATAAATGGAAGTAGGCAAGTGAGAGCGAATAGGTTTTTACAAATTCTTTGCTACCAAACCCCAAACCAGTTGCTGTTGCATCAATTCCAGCTCATAGCAACTCTATAGGACCGAGTAGAAGTGCCTCATAGGGTTTCCAAGGCTGTGATCCTTATGGAAGCAGCCTGCCACATATTTCTCCCATGAAGTGGCTAATGGGTTTGAATAGCTGATTTTTTGATGAGCAGCTGAACACTTTAACCATTATGACATGTGGGTTTCTTTCAAAACTTTCATTACAGAAAACAAATTCAAAGCTCATAGGGCAAGCAAGAAAGATAACCTAATGGTATTGTGAGACACAAAGACCCAAGAGGTTATTCAGGTTGTATGAATATAGGGAAGCTGACAGTGAAGTTTTATAATGAAATAGAATTGACATTGGATTGGGAATTGGACCTGGGTTTGAGGTCTTTTCTCTAGAACTCTACTTGGCCCTCAGTTTTCTCAATTGTAAAGGGTCCCTTCCAGCTCTAAGAATCAATGACTACATGGGTATTGAATGGAATGTCTGCTGAAATGTAAGCAAACTATAAACAGTTTCCACAATCACAATTAATAGTTATCTTGCTTCAATCAAAGGCCTCCAAATTTAGATTCTGTAGCTGTTTTTATCTGTAGTAATTGTGAGTATGACACAGTATGGTACTATATAAAGTCTATCATAGCTGTCTCAATTACACATATTATGTTAAATATATACTCAACTTTATTCCTGCTAAAAGTTACTAAGCTCAGGACTAATAGCTATATTGTTCCTCTTATATTAGGACATTTCTTCACCTTTTAAAAGACCATAGGCAACATTCTATGTTAAACTTCCACCTTCTTTTAAGCAAAAAAAAAAAAAAAAAAAATTTTCTATTAGCCTTTCCATATTAAGGTGTAATACTGATTGGTTATAAAGATAATTTGTTTAGGAAAGAACTGATGAAATATTGAATGGTGGCCCTTGGCACATCCTGCCACCAGAGGGTGCCAGAACATTTAAAAATCCCTTGGAAATTTAAATAGGAAGGAAAACAAAGAGACGGAGAATCTCTCCACTTACTGTAGACCTCTATGGCGTTTCCCAGTCGCCAGGTTATCTGCGGAGGGGGCCTACTTCTTATGGTGTAGCATGTAAGTACGACGTGGTGTTCGTCATTTTGCGCTGTCAGTGTTGAAACTTCCAGGCTTGCCTTGAAAGGAGTCACTAGAAGAAAATGGATTTCCCTGCATTTTACAAGTTTATCTACATGTGTCAGCAAAGCACAGAACCTAATAATCTTTAAGGATCATTCTAGGGTATAGTCTAACTCATGGGCATGTTTTTTACTTGCCCTTTTCTGTAATGCAGTCACGTTAAAAGGCTTTTATGTGCTTACAAACTCCTTTGGCTGAATTCAGAATGTTGGTTACTTGGTGTGTGATTGCTCCCTGAAAAGTCCAAAAATAACCCCACCTCTGTCACCAATAGTTGTAGGAACTTGGATAAGTCCCCTGATGTCTGGGTATTTCAGATTCTTTGTCTATGATAAGAAAGAGTTACATGATAAACTCTATGGCTCTTCCAGCTTTACATGTTCATGAGACTGTAAGTCCAATGTAAGTTACTTTTGTCCCCTCCTCTTAACAGCAAAGATGCATTTCTCTTATAAAGGGCCGGTTGGTCCTTTTTTTTCCTACTTCTGTCTTGGAAGATTTATTTTTAGCTAGGCTTCCTTCTTTTCTATTCAACTTCACACTTCAATCCAGAACATTTATTTACTTAACCCTCCTGCCATACAGCCATTCTACAGGCACTTATTAGCTCCGATTAAGCACTAGATGTGTTAGATGCTGGCAGTACAAAGGTGAAAAAAATATGGCAGTTTGAAGAATAAATTGTCCAGTGGTGGACTCAGCACTTAAATTGTTCATTAGAAGACCACATGCTGAGTGTTGAGATGGCCAATAAGAGTGGGTGGAGGCAACTCCAATGGTTGCTACTCCTTCTCAGCTACTTTGCCACCATGTCCTTACTTTTGGCGGGCACCAGACTGTAATAATTCAACAAGAGAAGTCTAGGAAATTAATTTGTGTAATATGTGGGGTTGTGCTACGTAGAGATCAATGAAAACAATTTTAACTGATCTGTTCACATATACACATACACATGCAAATAAAAACAAGGAAGTAAAAGAGTGAAAATTACATTGGGCACAATTGACCATTCATAGATCTAAGTCCCACACTATCACAAAGCTGTCGCTTCCTCTCTACATCCCTGCACCCCCAACAAAAGATAGGAACTCCCACCAGGCAGAGGATGCAAGCAAATTGACCAACACCTTATATCTGAATAAATAATATATTGGTACATACTGTCATGGGGTTTTACTTTATTTACATACATATTTTGTTTTCCTTATAGTCAGAGATGCTGCCTAATTCATCTTTGATTCCTTAGAGTATAGCATGGTGCTTGGTACAGTCACAGTTTATCAAATATTAATTCTCTTCCTTTTTAGTTATCCTGAGAGGAAATTTAACTGGTACCAAAAACAAATTTTACAAGCTTTTTCCAGGACTTATCTGAAGCATGCCACTCAAAATGTTCTCTTCTGTTTCCTTTTAACAAAAGATGGCAGAGGTGGCCTAGGAAGTGCCTTGCTCTTGGCAGCATATAAATGTTAAGCCTAAAATTATATGTTGTGTCCATAAGTATACTGTTCCCTCACTGAGTTTACTTGCTTCCTGGTACATACCTAGCACAATCACTTTCACTTCCTTTGTTCTCACGGAGGTGTGGCTGTAATGCAAACACTTGTATATGCCTTCATCTTGCAGAGTTATATTAGGCACGCTGATGGAGAGCTGATTGGTGGAATGATGAAGAAGTTGGTATTTGGTATTTTTTAAAGCTGAACAAGAGGGAAAAAGAGCAATTGTGAAAAAAAAAATTATCAGATGAATACAGACTGTCAGTGGACTTATTATTCACAGGAATAGTTTGATTTTCACACTTTTAAGAAACAAAATGTCATGTCTTTGGTTTAGCTGCCTGCAAAATTCTAGTGTTAACAGTTGGATGCCTCTCAATAGTTTGAAGTTAAAGAAATGAAATATTTTAATAGTAAACCAAAAAATCAAACCAAACTCACTACCATTGAGTCGAATCTGACTCATAGCGACCCCTCCTTGGGTTTCCAAGGTGCTATTTCTATGGAAGGAGCGCTGGTAGCATAGTGCCTAAGGCACTTGATGGCTAACCAGAAGGCTGGCGGTTCAAACCCACCAGCCACTCTTCGGAAGGAAGATGGGGCAATCTACTTCTGTAGTGATACTGCCTCGGAGGAGGCCCAAGGAGGGGTCGCTGTGAGTCGTGTCCGACTCAATGGCAAACAATAACAACAACATTTTTATGGAAGTAGATTGCACAGTCTGCCTTCTGAGGAGTGGCGGGTGGGAAATGCTATGAAATAAGCTGATTTGGTTATTTTTGTTATTTGTGCTTGTAAATAAGACCACTATGTGGGGTTCAAGTTGCAGGAGAATTTTAAATAAGATATATATTTTTTACATTCTGAAAAATGCCCCAGTATGATTTACCTCTTAAAAATCTGATTCATTTGAGGGCATCATATCACAATGAATGTGAAGAATGGAAGATAAAGGGGCTGCTATTCATTACTTCAGCTGGATTTTTTTTTATTATTAATTTTAAAAAGATCATTATGATTTGAAATTTCACAAAGATTATAACTTCGTCCTTCTAAGTGTTTAGCCAATGGCAAAGATGAAAGCCCCAGGAAGGTCCAGCCAACAGCAAGCATTTCTCTTGATTGTATGGGATTTCTATCTTAGCTCAAAGATCAATTAGTAAATGAGAGTCTCCTAAAATGAGTGGATTTATGTTTTGTTTTTTATTTTTCCTGTTAACTTTTATAATATGAATTATACTTTGAATGGCTGACTAAGGAAAGTTGTCCCTATCTGGAACAATGGTTGTGAGGCCTGTGACACTATAAAAGACATGTGCTAGAATTCACGGTTTTCAACTTGGCACTGTCGACATTTTGAGCTAGGAGCTGTACTGTGCATTGAAGGATGTTTAGTCAGATTCCAGTTAAAATAACCAAAAATATCTCCAGATAATGGTAAATGTCCCGTGGGACAAAATCACCCCCAGTTGAGAACCACTGAGCTAGATCAAGGCACTTGGCTGCCGAAATCTGAGAGTGGCCAGCTTCTTCCTGTTTACCAAAAACAAAAAAACTGAAACAAAACAACAAAAAGCTTTATTAAACAGGATTATCTCTACTTAAGTTCTTTTTTTTTCCCTCTCAGTTTTGTTCAACAATTAGTGTGTACTTATTTTATTGAAATCCAGTGTTAAAGCTGCTTTGGCTCAAAATGATCTATTTGGTTATTTTACATTTAACATATCAAACTTAATAATCAATTTAATAATGACTTCAAAGAATATCAAACTCTTTAGAGGCCTGCTTCATAAGCAAGATGAAAGTTGCTGCTTTGGAGGCTTTAACAACTATTTGGGAATCAGAAATAATAAATGGAGATATAAAATGATCTAGTGAGGAAAATGTTGCCTCTGTCAAAGAGATGAACTCAATAGACTTCTTAGAAGTCCCTTTCCATTTCATTTCCTGTGTGTTCGTGAGAGGAGGAATGACTGCACTCCTGTCCACAGTGAAACATCATGTCAATTTCTGCTGCTCAGTGATCTCAATTTTATGCCAAGACCAACAGGAGCAGAAGGACTGTCAGGAGGGGAACTTTGTGGCGAGACTTGGGGTTGCTCAGATGGGAGATGAAGCAGCTGGCTCCAGATGTGGGGAGATTGTGTCAGCCTGCCACCTACCAATCATTATGCTGTCAGTTGTTTCAAGGTCACTGAAAGTGAACGTGGGACATGGGGTGGGAGCACAGAAAGGCTCTGTCATTTGAGCCCCTTTTGCAAACCATTCTGGTGGGATTTCCATTTCAGACTTCCTGTCAGAAAAAGCAACCATGTGAAAATAACAGGGTGTGATTCATGTGAACAGTAGGTGGGCCGAGACCACCCTTTGGGTGATTCACACTTGCTTTCTTTCCTATCACCCTATATGTCTGACAAATCCTCAGATTGAGGTCTAGTAGTGATTTTATTTTCCTTTCACTTACCAGGATGGCCATTTAAAAAAATGGTAAACCCTGAGGGGGCCAGCCACTGAAGAAAAGAGGTCTTTGCCTGAGAAACTACACAATTTAGAATGAGTGTCTGGCCTTCCTCCATGGTGATGGTATCATTGAGGTCCATGGTGTTGGTGTGGTTGATGATGAAGGTGTTGGTGTGGTTGGTGAAGATGTCAGTGGGATTTGTCAGAAAGGCCTCTGCAGAGGAAGAGAATTGAGGACAGTCAGGCTGGTGAATGAAAGACTGTTCCAGCACCGAGGCAGGGCAACACCATTCATTCATTCATTCACTTCATCATACAATCCCAATTCCTTATATAAGTAAATACAAAATATGTGAGGAAATGAGTGAACACTGTGTGTAGGAGCAATAAAGACAGCTCATCAAAAAGGAGTTATTTGTAGTAGGTCTGAAAGAAGAGGGAAGGTTTTCATAGGAAGAAAGGGAAAAGTTTAACAACATCTACTGGACACTTGGGTCCCAGGGTGGAGCAAATTGTTGAACGATTCAGCTGCTAAGTGAAAGTTTGGCTGACTGAAAGATTGGCTGTCCCAGTCCATCCAGAGGTGCTTGGGAAGGAAAATCAGCCATTGAAAACCCTATGGAGCATAGTTCTTTTCTGACACACACAGGGTTGCCATGAATCAGAATTCAATCCATGGTAATTTTTAAAAAAATTTAATTGGCACTTCCTCTGTCACGTATGCCATGAACTGTGTGTATTTATATTTAATAAATATTAAAGAGAATATTTGTATTTTCACCATAACCTTCTAAAGGAAGAATTATTTTGCTCATTTTATAGTGAAAGAATAAGGCTCAAAATCACACAAGTCATGCAGCTGGCAGTTGTATCAGGTCTGTGGACTTCAAGTCATTGCTCATGTAGCTTCACAGTCTTGTCTAAGCAATGAGATCCCAGAAAATTCAGCCTTACTGGCCTTAGCTTATAAAATGGGTGGCTTGTTATTAATACCTTCAAGTATTAATACTCTAGGATCTAAGAAAGAATTTCATAATGCATGGTGCTCCCATGAATTAAATATGCCCATCACCGGGAGTATTTTAGCTCCACCCATCAGGAGGCTGCAAAGGAGATTCTACGCTGGAGGGAAGATATTCTCAAATCTCTTCCAATCCAGCCTTCCATAGAAGCACTTCCTCCAGGCAAGTGTGGGAGTCTGATTTCCCAAAATCACAGCCCTCAGAGAATGATACCTAATTGGTTCTAAGCACCTGCAATTTTATTCCCCCCACAAGAAAAATGATTGAAAAATTAACTGGCTTTATTGAGGATTTTGTGCGTTTACTACTGTTTATGATTTCAAATTTTAAATGAATAATAAAAAAACTTCTCCTAAGGACAAGGCAATTCTTATCAATGAATATATAAAATACTTTCATAAACTCAAGAACACTGTGTGTCTTATTCTTATAAATTATGAATAGCAAATATAATGAATTTTACTGCATCATCTTAAACCTTTAAAAAAAAAAAAGAGTATAAGAGGGGAGTTTATTTCCTTGTGATAAATTTCAAGTGTGGGGAAAAGCTTTGGACAGCTCTGGAAATTAATTAATTTCAATCCAGCCTCTGGCAGTAATACCCTATAATTATTGTATTATATTAATATTGACTTCCTTGGAAAAACAGTTAGCTTGAAGAAATCATAATTCAATACTATAATGAACAAGAAGGAGTCAATAAAAAAGAATTGTTATTTTGAAAAAGAATTGAGGCATAAGGCCAGAATTCTGCTTACGTCTGGCTGTTTCAGAGCACTCTCATCTATAAAATCAACTCATAATTGGGTAATAAGGATAATATTAATAGAGATGCTTTGAAATGACAAGGGGATTTCTTCTAAGGAATTTTATTGATAAAGAAGACTTAAGAAGCCATTTAGTAAACTATTCCCATGTCCTGATGATATTTGTATTAGGTAGGTAGGGAAAGCAGTCACTCTCAAACAGTATATTAGAATCACCTAGGGAGCCTTCAAAAATTCAGATGGTCAGGCTGCACCCGTTACTAATTAAATAAAAATCCCTGGGGACAGGGCCCAAGCAACAGGTCTCCAATGCCCTAGTCTGAATGCTCAGAGCATATTTTTCCCCAAAACTACAGTTGCAGTGCAATGAATAGTTAGCATTTTGTAGTCCCAAGGATGCTCTTCAAGTACTGAGGGCCACCGTGCTGCTTCTGCAAGAATCATATGAATCAAGAAGGTAAGTATCAATCTAATTTTCAAAGACTTCCAGAGAAAGCCTTACTACCATCCAACTGCATCCAATGCCTAGTATCTCTAGCTTGACTGAGTATCCTCTCAGCAGGGACCTCCTAAGTCTACCAAGCAAAAAAGTGACCCAATACTTGGCTCTCAAAGTAGTTTACACCTTATGATAAGGGATGAGGTTGGGGTGGGCATGGGGTCAAGGAAGAGTCAAATTTGTGTTTCTATAATGTTTACATCATGATCTTCATACTTTCTGTCTTCCAAAGGTATATAGACTAAGTCCACTGCCTTTTCCATATGATGGTAAAATAATTAAAGAAGATATACCTTTAGTTCCATCATTGTTTCCTCCCTACCTACAACACTTGCCAATAATGTCCTTCTTAAAATATGTCTCCCTGTCTGGGACAGATGATTCAGATGTCATCTGAGCGGGTTAGAACATAAAGGGACATTACCTCTCTCAACCTGGATTCTGTAGACTCTTTTTATTTCTGTTATGTCCAGTGTCTCATTTTTGAGTTGTAGCATCTCAGTAGGCTGATGTTGAGACAGTGGTCACCCTAATCACCCAGATCCTTTTTTGGAGAACTTGTGGTCACATCATGTTTCCTCATCCTCTTTTTATAAATTTCATTTTGAAAGCATGTTCAGGGTTCACATTCTCCCCAGATAAGTATTACTTGGTTTGTTTGGATCAAGGGTTCAAGCTTTCAGAAGACATTTTGGTTATTGAGTCTCTTATCTGTCCCTAGTCCCGTAGGCTTGGTGTTTTCTGAACTTGTTGCAGAAAGTATAGCATTAACATCTTTATCCCTAACATGGGAGGTAGCATGGTAAATTGTTAAAACACAATCTCCAGCCAAACTGCCTGGTTTGGAATCCTGGCTCCTCCACTACTAATAGTGTAAACTTGGCAATTTGTATGTTTCAGTGCTTTCACCATAAAAACATGAAAAACAATAATATTCATTTCATAGAGCTGCTATGATGATTGAATAGCCCATAAAGTACCTAGAATAGTAATTAATACATAGTAATCATGATTAACTATTATTACATGATAAGTACACAACTAACGACAAGATGCCTAATGATTGTTTGAAGAGCTGAATTGATTCTTGCTTTAAAAAGAAAAATGGAAAGAATCAGTATCAAAAGACAAAGCCTTACATTACTAGACTTGTCCTAATATTCTAAGTCACTACCAGACATTAATAGAAGAGGCAATTACAGTCACAATAAACTTGTTGCAATGTTGATAAAATCCCAAGTTACCTAGACATTAATAGAAGAAGTAATTACAGTCACAATAAACTTATTGTAATTGGAACAGCTTAAGAGAATCAGGGATGTTGAGGATAATTAAGTGATAATGAGTTCTTTTTATTTTGTATCTCAGGTGCCAAGAATTGAGTTAATCATAAACTCATTTTATGGCACACTATCATTATGAAATGGAGAAAGAGAGAGAAAGATGTATTAGAACTCATGAGATGAATTATAAAATTCCTTCCACATCGCTCCTCTTTTCATCAAATAAATTATCTACTATTGAAACATCAACTTAATTACATACAGTTATATCAATGTCATTTTGAAAACATGCTGCTCATAAAAGGAAACTACTCTTGCCACCAAATCTAGTATATATGCTTTTAGACCTACAATACTCTGCCTTACTCCCATCACTGTGGATTGGCCATTTTCTTATCTCAGACCAATATCTCCACTTGGGCACTGGACTCAATCCCATTTTGTTTGCTCAAGGATTTCCCTCCTGCATTGCTTAGTCTCTCCCCTGTATCATAATCTTTCTTTTTTGCTTTTAACTATATCAATCTCATCAGCATACAAATATACTATTATTTCTTTCATACTAAAGAATAAAAACAACTTGAAGTCCTATTTCCCTCCAGCTACTGTCCCATTTCCCTCTTTTATTGTAAAACTCTCCCAAAGAATTGTCTGCACTTGTTTATTCTTCTCTTCCTCATCATTAGGCTTTAGTGTCTAAGCATTTGACTGCTAACCAGAAGGCTCACAGTTGAAACCTACCAGCCACTCCTGAGAAGGAAGACTGTGCAGTCTGCTTCTGTAGAGATACCACCTTGGAAACCCAAGGAGGGGTCACCGTGAGTTGGAACCAACTCGATGGCAGTGAGTTGATTCCACTGAAATTGCTCTTTGTCAAGGTCACTAAAACCTTGGCCATTGCCCAAATCAATGGCACATTCTCAGTCCTTATCTTATTTAACCTATTAAGTACTTTTGCCACAATTGATCACTTCCTGCTTCTTAAAACAGTACCTTTTTAACAAATTTTTATTGTGATTTGGGTGAAAGTTTACAGAGCAAATTCATTTTCTGTACAGCAGTTCGTACACATTTTGTTTCATGACATTAACTGCAATTCCTCCCTGCAGTTACCTCTTCCCTGTGTCCTTCCTTCTTAAAACTGTATTTTACATGGGACTTCTGGTAAGATGGCAGATAGACAAGCTAACAGACCCTCTTCAACAAAGAAAAGAGAAACCAACTGACAGAAATTAAAAAGATAATCCTGGAGCCCAGAGCTTTGAAAGGAAGCATACAGAAGAGGATTAGGCGCCAACTTGTGGAAGAACCTGAATGAAAACAGTGAGTATGAAGATGGAAAGAGCTGTGGACTGTCAGCTACTCTAACTGCACCAACAGCCTGACTATTTCCAAGTGGTATTGGGACTTGAGAATTGACCTAAAGATCAGCCCTGGTCACCAGGGGCTGCAGGGACAACTGCACTGGTGGCTGATGACTAGGAAGGGAAACAGCAAAGAGAGAGACAACCTGAGCTGTAGACTTTCAGCTCTCTGGAGGGCACAGCCATTTTGATTGTTTACAAGTGGTGGCCATTTTGGATATTTAAAGTGAATGAGAGTGCAGCCATTTTGAATGTTTGCAAGGGGTGGCCATTTTGAATATTTAAAGTGACAGCATTCTCATTTGGATTCCAGGGACCTAAGAATAGGATCTGCTTGCCAAAAACAGCAGGGACATATGGGAGGCTGACAACATGAAAGGAGACAGGTGGTGAGTGTATAAGTACTGCCAACTAGCAAATAGAGGAGCACAGTACCCTGCTTATTTAGATAATATCCAAGCAAACAAAGAAAACCACTCCAACATACAATCACCAATGAAATATAAACACAAAAACATTACAATGTCTCAGAAACAACAGAGCATCACAGTCCACACAAAGAAGCAAGATAAAGCAGGAGAAACAAGGGACCAGGATACAGACCCAGAACACACCTCTGAGGAAGCAGCGGCATTGGAAATCCTTGATAAGGAATTCAAAAGAATTATATTTAGGTACCCTCAATGGATTGAGAGAGATCAAGGAAAACACCAACAAAATTGAGGAAAACACAGACAAAACCTAGAACAATTTTGAAAAACATTACAAGAACAAAATGACAAAATAAATGAAAAATTAGGAATGGTACAAAATCTACAGATAGAAATCCAAAAGATTAATACTAAATTTTCAGAAATAGATAACACATTGAACAGGCAAATGAGTAGAATGAATCAATGGAAGACAGAGTTAGTGAGATTGAAGACAAATACCTCAATGCTTCTTTGGAAAAGGGTCAGTCAGAGAAAAGATCAAAACAAAATGAAGAAAGCCTAAGGTTCACGTGGGATCCATCAAAAGGATAATCTGTGTGTAATTAGAATTCCAGAACAGGAAGAGACAAATAAAACCACAGAGAAAACTGTTGAAGATTTGTTGAAGAGAATTTTCCTGGTATGATGAAACACAAGAGTATATCCATTCAAAATGTCCAATGAACCCCAAACAGAATAGACCCCAAAACAAAATCACCAAGACATTTCATCATGAGACTCACCAAAACCAAACACAAAAAAAGAATCCTGAAAGCAGCACAGGAAAAACAAAAAGTTACCTACAAGGAGCAACCAATAAAACTAAGCTTCGAGTTCTCAGCAGAAACCATGTAGGTGAGAAGAAAATGGGATGGTATATGTAAAAACCCGAAAGAAAAAAAAATTTCCAACCAAAAATTATATACCCAGCAAAATTGTCCCTCAAATATGATGGTGTTATTAAGACATTTCCAGAGAAGCAGAAATTAAGGGAATATGTTAAACCAGACCAACCTTACAAGAGATGCTAAAGGGAGTCCTTTGGACAGAGAACCAACAACAGCAAACAAGAACCAACCATTAACACACATGATGACATAAGCCAGAAACCAATCCAGTTATGGAAGTATCCAAAGTAAATAAACCTACAAGATTGTAAACAGGGAAACAGAGACATCAGTTGACAGAAGAGGATAACTGCAAACCAAAAAGATGGGAAAAGTTGTGTAGTTACAGAACTTCTAAATGGTAGGGAAGTCAAGAGAACTACAAGATAGAATGGACTGTTCTAAATTTGAGAAGAAAATTATAAACTACAGGGTAACCTCAAAGAAAAATGATAAACCTTTACATCAAAATAAAAAAGAGGTTAAGCACAAATATTTAGCAACTACTAAAACAATAGCACTGATGGAAGTGATAACATGATTCGTAAACAAAACAAGCTCAGCACAGAAAATTATATGGAACAAAGAAATCAGCAACACCACAAAACACATAACAAAATGACAGCAACAAAGTCATACTTGAGGATAATTACACTGAATGTCAATGGATTAAATGCACCACTCAAGAGATGGAGAGTTACAGACTGGATAAGAAAACATAACCCATCAATATGCTGTCTACAAGAGATATATTTTAGAGAGAAAGACAAAAATAGACTGAAAATCAAAGGTTGGAAAAAGATACATCAAGCAAATGGCAACCATAAAAGAGCAGGAGTGGCAATATTAATTTCTGATAAAATTGACTTTAAGACAAAAACAACCTTAAGAGACAAGGAAGGACATTATATAATGGTTAAAGGATCGATTGAACAAGAGAACATAACAATAATAAATAACTATGCACACAATGAAAGAACCCCAAAATACATAAACCAGACTGTAACAGAACTAAAAAGACAAATAGATGACTCCACAGTCATAGTAGGAGACTTTAATACACCACTTACAAAGATAGAACAACTGGAAAGAAACTCAACAAAGATATAGAAGAACTAAACAATACAATCTACCAACTTGACCTTATAGACATCTACAGAGCACTTCACCCAAAACAGCACAATACACATTCTTTTCCAGTGCACATGGAACATTCTCCAGAGATACCATATGTTAGGCCACAAAGCAAGCCTCAATATATTTAAAAACATTGAAATACTGTTTCTCACATCACAATTAAAATTAGAAATCAACAATAGGAAGATGAATGGAAAAAGAGCAAACACACAGAAACTGAGTAACACCGTCCTTGAAAATGACTGGATAATGGAAGAAATAAAAAATGAAATTAAAAAATTGCTTGACTCAAATGAGAATGAAAACACAACATACCAAAATCTTTGGTACACAGCAAAAGGAGTGATCAGAGA